AATTATTCCATTAAGAATGATCGCCCGACGCTGTCGCTCGATATCGACCCAGTACTAAACTAACATAATAATCTAACCAACTTTAATTCCACAATCATACCATTTCACCACAGTACTACACTGTATCAGACGTCGCACTGTATTTGTTCCTGGCCTGAGCCGAATCGTCTCACACGACGCAGCGCGCACCTATTCCATTCTCTTCGCCATATCATATCGCATCTGCACCCGCATCTGCACTGCATTTTTTGTGCACGTCCGCCATTCCGTCTCGCCTATACCCATTACCTACGCGCGACAGCAACATCGACATCGACGGCGACACGACACAACACGACAAGACACGACGAAGGTCAATTGTTTCGACGAAACGGATTGACCAAGTTGACTGATCTGGAATACTTTTTAAGACGCATCTGACCGTCTTAAAAGTTCTGTGCGTGTAGGTGTGTGTGTGTGTGTGTGTGTCTTTGCGCGCTACGACCAACTATATTTCCAACACCGCGTTCTCTCGACTTGGAAACAACTTTCCCTTCTCCCGTCTTCGTTCCCTATTTCTCTTAACCACCCACGGGCAAAAAGCATAGACCCGAATGTCTTCGACGTTGTCATCGCTCAAAGTCGAACTTTGTAATCATTTACCCACATCGTCATTCGAAGACTACAACTAAATCTGCGATCGCATTGCATTGCATCGAATCGCATTCGTTCATAGTAGTAGAGTAAGAGAGAGGGAGGAAGCCCGTGTGCATTGTTTGCCTCGGAATAGGAAAGCTTTAGAAAAAGAAGGTGCTGCGAAAGGAGAGAGACGAAGAGCTTCACGTATCAAATAAGCCGATCGCATCGAGACTGCGACAATACCGATAGACGAAGAAAAATCAAAAGAAGTGTATGAGATCGTGATTAGGGTTGGGTGTCGATATCCACGTCGTGGATAGTCGACCACTCTCGTACAGAAATGATGGCGAGTATAGGACCGGGTGGCTTTCATCCTGGTATGCAGGCACAACATCCCGGCGTCCATCCGGGTCATCCTATGGGCGCTCCCGGCATGGCTCACAACCCGAGCCAACCGGGTGCTCAGCCCGGCATGCCTCCTCAGATGGCACATATGGCAGTATCCGGTCCCGGTGGACAGGTCAATCCCGCCATGATGGCCGGCGGTATGCCTCCTGGTGCTGGAGGTCCCAACGCTCACGCCTTGCAACATCTCAGCCCCCAGATGTTTCAGAACCAACAGCAGTTTGCTTGTGAGTCTTCTTCTTCTTCTTTATCTCTTTCTCTTTCGCCTTAGTCGGGTGTATTATGTGTGTAGTAAGTGTTCGTCTTGGCTAACAGACGCGTGTGCGCGACCCTCATAGTAGCTCAAAATCACCAAATGAATCCCCAGATGATGGCGCAAATTCAACAACAGCAGTTGATGCAGCAACAAAGACAAGCCATACTCCAGCAGCAGATGTACGGCAACGCTATGCCGGGCATGAACATGCAGCGGATGAATATGGGTAATATGACGGCTGCCCAGTTCCAGGCCATGAGGAATGGGAACATGCAAAACATGCAACGAGTCGGTCTGCCTCAGCATATGCAACAGGCGCATCTCCAACAGGGACAACCTCAGAATCCCCACGCTCAAGTATTATTACACCTTCCCTCTGTCATACCCGGGGACTTGATGCTAACCACCTTCGTAGCAAATCTTGGCACAACAATTAGCCATGCAACACCAAGCCCAGCAACAGGCGAACAACCACATGCACCAGGGTAATCAGCCTGGTAATCCCGGGCAAATGACCCCCCAGCAGATTCATAATCTTCAACAGGCGCAACAGGCGCAACTGGCACAATCCATGGCTAATCAAGGGGTTCCCCAAGGTCCTCAGGGCCAGGCATCTCAACCCCAACCCCAACCTCAAGGCCAACCGCAACAGCAAGGCCAACAACCCCAGCCGCAACAACAACAACCGGGCCAGCAGCAGCCCGGTCCGCAGCCGGGTCAGCAACCCCAGCCCAACTCCCAAGCTCCCCAGAGGGCTCCTACACCAGCTGTTGCGCAACCAAGCCAGCCACAAAATCAGGGTCCAAATCCTGCGCAGGGGAATCAACCGCAACAACCGCAGGGCCAGGGGCAGCCACCGAATGGCCAGCAATCCCAGCCGCAACAGCCCAATGCCCAGCTGCTGCAGGCAGCTCAACATCCACAGCTGTCGACTAACATCCAGCAGCAGTTGTTGCACCAACAACAACATAAGAATGATGGTATGAAAGGCCATTGTCTATTGAAACTGCTCCAATTTGGTGAACATCTAAGCGGATACCCCGTAAGTACATGATCAAGAGAACCCCCTACCCCTGGTGGAGACCAACTATTGACGTGTCACTCGTGGCAGGGTTCGAGGACCAAGGATGACTTGTCGTACTGGAACAACTTCGTGGCCCAGTTCTTCTCGCCGAGGGGAGTCTTCAGGATTGCTCTGTGGTATATCGGGTCCGATCAGGCGAACGAGGATCACTCGGATAAGCAATACGAAATTACGCAGCCTGCGTTAGCACGATATTTCAACGCGCACTTTGAGAGCGGCATCAGGCGGATAAATTTGACGTTTGAGAGGGGCATTACCGACAGACCGTTACCAAATGGCTGTCACTTCATCGAAAACCAAAAAGCTAGCTTGACGTATTGGTTTGACAACTCACACGTAAGTTTGGCGGTTCGTAACCACAATGACAAGAAAGAAGAGGCTGATTGTGTGATTAGGTCGTTTCAACTGGAACTCTCCGAGCGTCGTTTGACAGCGACCAAAAACTTGAGCTGCTAGAGTTCATCACGCAAAGCCACGAGGAATATCACTCACGAAAGATGGTTATCGAGGCGGCCAAACCAGCACACAACTGGGTCAAGGATTGGCTCAAGGTCAACGGCCAGGACTCGCGATCTCCGGAGATGAGCAAAAAGGGGAAAGCCAAGCCGATGAAATCACCGCCCAATCCACCACCTGATATTGACCTGCCTCAATCTGCTGTCAAACAGAACATAGGCATTACGGAGGCCGTTTTTCAATTCCTCGAGGTACGTGTTCCTAGCTCGGCGGCTGCTCGTGTGCACTTGGGCTGACGTGGCAAATCTAGATAATCGAAGTCGTGGGACAAATGAATGTGAGTTGGCTAATAATAATTTTTTCACCGGTCCTATAGATGCGTGAGATCTAGTTACTGACCTGTGGACCCGCTTAGCCCCTGTTCCAGTTTTATAATTCGCAGCTCGGAAGCCTCTCCCCTTACGGTGCCTTGGAACAATATGTCACCACAGTTATCAACAATCCTAATGGGCAACCTATGGTCAACGGCCAACAAGCCAACGGCCCACCAAACCCGCGGACCCCTAGTTTTGGCCAATTTCCTATAGGCGCTTCACCGGCCGCCACACATCTTCAGCTTCCGAACTCGCCTCACATGGGTAGCCCTGCCCAAGGACACATGCAAGCACCGGGCATGCAATTACAGCCAAGTCAGCAGGGGACGAGCTCTGGCGGACCTAGCGCCAACACGAGTCCCGCAAGCAACAAGCGGAGGAGACCTTCTACCGTGAAGGCCGAGGAAGACAGCGGCGCCCCTACACCAGCGAGTATCGGAGGCCCTCCGGTCAACGGTGTCACGATGGCTAACAAGAAGCCCCCGACGCCTCGGATGCAGAAGCGTCTCAAGGGCAACCCCGCGTGACGAAATGTAGACCACGTTCTTGGAGGGAATTTATTCTTGGAGAAGGATTACAGATAAGACAAATCTAGCATACCGGCGTCATCGACTTCTGGATACGGAAAAAAAATTCATTGTGTACTGTGTTCTTGGGTCTTGGTTCGGACTTGTTTTTTTATACGCACTACTATTACATTGGGGGGGCTGGACGTTCAGGAATGCTTGACTTTGCATCATCATCATATTTTGGGGGGTTTTGGAAGGGTCGGATGTTTTTCGTTTAGCGATTCCCACAACTACCCACGCAACCACGATTGCACGTTGACGTTTTTGAAGGACAAGGACGAAGAACGAGCGCCGGACTAAACTGGACTGATTAATTACCTGATTTGGTACTCTTATTTGAAGCGTCGTCCACGTCCGATGTGACAACAAGTGGAAAGTGGAGAGAGCAGAGAAAATTTGGCGTTGGTTCTACGGTTGTCCTTTTTTCTAATTTCATCTGATTTAAGCGGAGAGCCTTTGTGGCCTGTCTTACCTCGATAAGAATGGATGCTCGCAGCCTGTGCTCTGGTCGGTATTGGAATTATAGCTGTTAATTCCGGTAGTTACAGACGGGAGAGAAAGGGATCTGAAGAGCATCCACTTGTGTACAATATCATTTCCCCACGGCTGTTTAGTTGAGTTGCGGAGTTGCCACACTTGCATATCTGCTACCTTGCCTACTCCGCGCGTGTGGCAGACAGCCGTTGTCTCGTCTCTTGTTTCTTTGTCTTTGCTTTCCATCGTCATCTGAGCCCAACAAAATTACCCGGCTTGCGAGGAAGGGAAAATAGTGGAAAAGGGGGAGTCGAGATGAAACGAGCCTTCTAGGACTTTTCGTTTTCCTTGGATCGCCCCTGAAATTTGGAAGTTGGCTGCTAGGCTCCGCTAGGATAGGCTAGGCTCACAAAGATGATAATTCTCAACTTGACTGTTCAAGACCCAAACCTATGTGACCGTTTGTCAAAGCATCTTGACATCATATGACATCTAGAATTAAGGTGGCAGCAACGGACTTTCTTACTACTGCCATATAAAAGGAATGGGCGAAGAACTGATTGTCTTAGTCTTTCAGGAAGGTTTGGGACCCCTGAATAGACATGTTGTAAAGCATGACTGCATAGCAAATTAAATCTATACAACACTGTTACTAAACACTAAATGTGAGCGAACTTCACCGACAGCAGACGGCTACACCGTTAGGATTATTATTAATATAGCTCTAATACTAAAAATCCATGCAAAGCGCACGAAAAATTTAGTGACAAGAGTGGGATTTGAACCCACGAGGATTGCTCCACTGCGAGATTAGATTCTAGTGAACCTGAACGCAGCGCCATAACCAACTCGGCCATCTTGCCTTGTGATTCGTTGAATTAAAAGTTTGCAACCGGATTCTATATCGTAATCGTAACCATTTTCTGAAAATATCTGGCCACGAGCGAGTGCTATCGCAGTTCCACTCTACTTGTAGGAACTCAAGTTTTACTTAAATAGTCTCTTACTTGTGCTGGCTACCCTTTCTTCGCACACCCACACTTACTTTCCAGGTGCTGCACTTCACTTAGATATAGAGGATGGGAAGAAGACGACTGTACGAGGATGCGGACGACGCTGTCCTGACTATCTGACAAGACAAGCCATTTGAGACGCCAATGTCCCACTCAATGCCTATAGACAATCATAGACTAGTTAGTAGATGTCATTTGTAATTTCGAAACTCGATGCGAGAATAACTTATATAGAATGAGACTTACTGTCCCTCCGAGACGTTTATCTCTAAGTATAACAGTAGTGGGCGTGAAAGGACATGGAGTTGGATAGATTACGGGGCGGATAAGTTCACACACTCTACGTATCTCGGTAGGATATTAGAGGACCACGGACTGATGCTAAGACGAGCAGGCAATAATGACTATAGGAATAGGGGATAGGCAATTTCGTATCAATCCGATTAGTATCTGTCTATCACACGTATGGTATGCATTGGTACGACCTATAATAGAACCGAGTGAGGCGTAAATAGGGTCTTCCAAGTTGATCTGAACTCTATCTCCAACAAGCCGGATCATTTCTCAACACGTCTTAGAGGCCAGAAATGGAGCAGTTGATAGAATGGACCCAGCCGAGCTGCAGTCGGATCACGAACAGCTCTGCGATCCAAGGCCCGATGGGTCTGGGAACCTTGCCCGTCTGCTTGTCGACTAATCGGAACTCCAACAATGCGAAGTCTTCCATATCGATCTCGTTGGTAGATTGGTCGAGAAGTGGCTGCCTAGGAATGACTGCCTTTTCCTCAGGATCGAGTTTGTGCCAGTCGTGCCATAGGATGGCTCGAGAGTTAGAACTCATAGTGACGTAGATACCTGCGGCCAAGATGAAATCGTCGTGGCCACCTAGCTTCGTTGGGAGCCTGAGCTGGGCATCAAACTATCATGGTTAGTAGATGCGTCCGCGGAGAGCTTCAAATTAAAACGTATACATGAACGTACTGTTGTTCCTGCTGTTGGCAATTGGCGCCGTAGGTCAGCCTGGCTCAATTCTGACTGGGGGTTGGAGCCAGGGCTTCGTCGGGATAAGTATTGGCTGACGTGTTGGTCATTTAACTAAATAGTGTTAGCTATTCGTATCTTAGGGTTGATTATCGCTTGGATTTGTTCTAACTTCAACCCAGGGACGTTCTGGGGAATTGGACCAGTCCTCAACCAGCTGGTCTAGGTTGCCTCGCTTGACATGGCCGTCGAGGGCGTAAACTAGATCAAATGGAGATGTAGGGGCAATATTGCCGTCTCGGTAGTACCCAATGATGGTCTCGATGTTGGGTCGGGAGTCACGATACTGAGGGATTTGTATCAGGAGGCTTTCGATCCTGCTACTGATGTCGCTGGAATATAGTTGACTGTTGTCTGATTGCATCGTGTTCACTTACTATTATCAAAGTAATCTAGGAAATGAGGATGGATCTGAGGGACGGTTGTAGAAGATTATATCTAATGTAGTCGGTTGTGGTAGGCAGATATATTACCTTATGAGTCCTACGATGACTGTGAGGTGTGTGAGTCGTGTTGTCAAGCGTGTGGTTTGATAATGCTTTCTCCCTGTTTCTCTAATTAACAAGCGCTCTGCTTATGCATTTCCATGTAATATTCTATTTAAAATGCACAGGATCTCAACTTGAGATTAATCAAACTTAAGTGATTAGGTACCTAGGTAGTTAGACAGGCCTCCTTATGCCCAAGTAAGAGTAATAGAACAGCATCCCACGGTGGATAGCGAACATTCCTGTCCATTCTTTCATATATACCTGAACTTACAAGCAATCCAATGTCAGCTACACAGATACACATAACAGCAACTAGACTTAAGGACCTCATGTTCATTTGCTAACATTTTAGTGTTTGGGAGTCATTACATCTATGACAACAGCTCCGGTTCTATGCGAACGTAAGTTAGTAAATATTATACGGTGATAATTCCTCAAAATTACAGAGAAATCATCTCCTGTTGATGATTAAACAGAAATAGGTCTACTCATAGCTGTTTAAAATCAAAGCCCCTTTTGATGCTTCTCGTCTTGTCGTTGACACCGAGAGCAGTGGCCCGCACCTCCTCATCAACCTGGCCATCCTCCGCAACCTGACCAAGTCCCTTCTCCCATGAGTTCCAATACTCCATATTGAATCCCATTGCCTCGTCTTTGCATGGTTCGTAAATATTCTGTCCGGCAATAGAGATCCAAGCCGAGATCGCGGGTACGTACGAAGCAGCACGAAATCGTAGCTAGGGCATTTCGTACGGCCCGTGCAAGTTCTCTCTCATACAGTCTTTGATGTAATATGCCATGCCAGATGAATTCGGGCTATCTGCGAGACACATTGCCGCAAATGAGGTCGCGTTGAAGTAAGAGGATTTCTGGCCGACCCAATCGTTGATATCCATATCCTCGTACGGATCGATGCCTGGTTCCGTTAGTAGTCAGGACCAGAGCACAGATTCATATCGCAACCGACGAATAGCTTGAGAACTTACTTATCCCGTACTCTCTGAACATAAGAGCGTACGTCGGTAAGCATACCTAGAACCCACCGCCCTATTCATGCTCAATGTCATTTCCATGATCAACTTTGACTTGGAGCTTAGCAATGCGATTCAAAAGATCGATAAGACGTGTGCTTGCTGCTTGATCGCTTCCTACGTGCCGTACGGCATCGCAGAGGAGGCCCCAAACGGACGCAATGTGCAAGCCTCTGGTGAGTAGGGGGGGGGGGGGGGGGGGGGGGGGGGGGGGGGGGGGGGGGGGGGGGGGGGGGGGGGGGGGGGGGGGGGGGGGGGGGGGGGGGGCGGGGCGGCGG